CCGCCTGTAACGAACAATTTGCCGGAAAAGCACAACTGCCTGACAATAGAATATCTCCCACAGGCGAGGAAAACACCAAGGCAACCCCTGCGACTTCTTGTGAAGGAGAAAAAGTGCCATCAACCTGCAAACAAGGGAATAACGGGAATCAAGAGGACTGAAAACCTCTGTCACTACCCCATGGATCAAATGGTATGGTAGAAGGGATGGAACGGTATCCATAGAATGCCGATAAAGCCAAAGAGACCACCAAATGAGGCAGGAAAAAATTACCGTCACCAAGAACCTAACAATTACAATCCTTCAAGATCTCCCATAGTAGAAACAAGGACTGATAGTGAGCTTCAACACTAAGTGCCCTCTACATCCAATCTACAAACCATTTTGTGAAAGAACAAACATCCCCTATGGAGAAATAGAAACCGAATGGAGATAAGTTTGAAATGAGGCTGGGATGCTCGCAGTCCAACAACATGTGCCCAACAGTTTCATCCTTCAAACCAAAGCGAACACAAAGAGGAACTGGAGAAATACCATGATGAGCCATTGCTTGTATCGTGGACAAGCATTAGACGTATTCGCTTTCTTCTATTTATTGTGTCTACAAGTTTTTTTGCTCGAAAAAAGACAAATATAAATCAAAAGTTTGGGACAATGAATTTAACATTTAGATGTAACTAGTTGTTGGATTAATTTGATAGAGTACCAAATGGAAGTTTTGAAACACAATAATATTATCTCTGCTACATGTAAATATATAGAATTGAGTTTTAGAATTGATGCAGTGTCAGAAGTAATATTAGAAGGATTAAAGACGTGTGAAACTCCATAGTTCAGAAATGTAGAAGTCAGGTCAAATAATAAAGTAGTTGTAGACATCTTCAAAATGAAATACTATTTCCTTGAAGGGATCTTTGATCTAACGGAGATCGAAAAAAATTTCCAAAAGGTCCAACTACTATGTAATACATGCATGCAGAGAATTCAATCCTATAGTATATATATTGGCAAAATTAGGAACATCATGAAGAACTTTAGAGTTTGAGGAATGGGTGCAAATACCGAGCCAGGTAAAAGAATTGTTGCTTTTGGATCAACATTCACTCCTTATATACACCTCAAATGACATAAGGTTTGTAATGGTTTCATGATAGGGTGGAGCGTAATATGAGAAGTGAACAATTATTTATTTATTTTTTTAATGTTTAAATTTAGAACTGTCATGGGATTTTCAATAAAATCTAAGACAGTCTTTTGATAATTACTTTTATTTTCAGAAATATGAGAAGTGAAAATTTTTTTTTTTTTTTTTTAATGTTTAAATTTAGAACTGTCATGGGATTTTTAATAAAATCTAAGACAGTCTTTTGATAATTACTTTTATTTTCAGAGATGTCATGGAATTCTTAAAGATATCTTTATAAGACAACATTAGATAATTGTGATTTTTTAGAGATGCCACGGGACTCTAAGAAAAATCTTTTAGACAGTCCCTTTATTATGTAAGTCAAGTACTACCTTTTGTTTTTTTTTTTTCCAAATAAAATCGAAAAAATATATGCCAGATACCGTGGATTTAACAAAAAAAAAAGAGTAAATGGTAATCACGTGCTAAAATTGTGTGGTCCGCCCGGGGGAGGGAGGGGGTGGGTGGGCGAGATTACTTGGGCTTGAGTATAGGTTTTTTAATGGAAAGTTATCTCGAATGTACTTTTCAGGAAGCTTACAAGAAGGGTGTGAATTTGGTGTTTGCTTGCCAATTTGTGGTTAAAAAAATGAGGCATGTCCAAAAACAATATAAGGTTATACATCAAAACTGTACAATGGGTACATCTAAATTATTAAGGAGACCCATTAAAATTATATTAAAAAATTTATGTGGAAGAGTCATCAAATTGTTTAGTAGATTCACCAAAATTATTATATTGTTGCAAAATACATTAACATTATACTGCATATATATTAACATTATACAACATGTATCCACCAAATTTATACGTAGATACATTCAATTTTATCGTAGATACACATAATTATACCAAATATACATTAGTATTATAGTACAAGTTCACCAAAATCTATATCGCAGATGTATCAACATTATAATGCAAATATATTAAAATTGCTGAGATATCAATATTATATTACAGATACATAAAAATTATATCACAGATCGATACATCAATTTTATGTGTAGAAACATCAAAGTTTTATTACAGATACACCAATAATATACTATAGGTCTACCAACATTTGTTGTCATGGATACACTAGTATCACACAGCAGATACATCAAAATTATATTGCAGATATTTTAATATTCTACTGTAGATACATCAAAATTACAATGTAAATCCATAGCAATTTAAGTCTATAGAAATAAAAACTATAAATTCTGAAAAGAAATTTAAATATGCATATCATTGGATAGATCTCTCTTGATATAATAAATTTTGTAAACAACATGTTTCTTAATTTTTGACGAATTGAGAGATAAAATCAGTTCAAGATTTTTTATGTTTTGTAAACTCTACAAAATTTACAAAAAGGCCCTATATTTATAATAAATAAAAAGACTTATCTAACACATTAAATATTTGACATTTGTCCATGTATAGAGTATGTGATCTACCACATTACTTGTAGATTTGAGGCCACACAAGAATTTGCCATGGCGATCATGTTTTACCATATAGTAACAAGCGTTTGTTGGTAATTATTATACTAAAAATCAAAATCGGGATAGTTTCCAACAAAATATTTATTTTCGACAAACATAAAGGACATAAACGGACAATTGCTGTATAAGTAATATATACCAGCCATATATATACGAAGACTTTATTAGGTACAAAATTCAGAACCATATAAAATTACATCGGGCACCACAAGTTTTTATCCAGTCATATTCAAAATAGAAAAATTTTCGAAGGCGCCTCTCCCCCCAAATTATTCCCGCCACCATCTTCGTTCGTCGTTGTTCCTCTGTTGGATTCATCCCGTGGTGTTGGCGGAAACAAAAGCTTCGAATCGAGTTCTTCTCTTCCGAATTCTATCTTGAATCGGTACTGATCCTTGAATCATTGATTATGAATTGAACTCTAATTGCTGGTTTCGGAAACCCTAAGCATTTTTTTTTTTTTTTTTGTGAATTGATTGACGCGTTTAGCTGCTGTATATATGTACCGTATGTTAGGTTTTGAAGCTTATGTGTTTGGAATTGGTTGGATTTCATTGAATTTGTGAGGTAGAGATGAAGTCGTCAGGCCAGGGGAAGAGGAAGGTGTTAGGGGTGTCTGTGAAAGGGAATAAAGCCTCGGGATCTCCGGAGAACTGTGGGAAGAGAAGCTATAAACGTCGGGAAAAAACAGTTGGTAAGGCACCTTCGACTGTACCTACTTGATTTATTCAAGTCAATTTGAGTTTTGCGTTTTTTTATTTTGCAACCATTGCCTTTGGGTGCGCCGTTGATTTCAAAGATTGTGATTTTGTACTTCGTTAGCTAGGGTTTTGTTAATTATCCAGTTGGGAAAATAAAGATTGATTCTGAATTGCATTGTGACATGATCTGAATCAGTCCAGGGACAGATAGTTTTATTACCTACAGTGATTTTCTTCCTTTTGGGTTTCATGTAACCAAGTGTTGTTTGGTATAGTTGGTGATATTTCTTACAATCTTATCATGGTATGATTATTCCTTGGCTGGCGGTTGTTTAAGCTCCACTTATCGTTTCTGTATTGTTTTTCTGGTTTTGATGCTATAAAGCTTTTAAAACAGTTTGTTCAGTTCATCTGTTCATCCCAGTCAAAATTTTTCAATTAGTATTAGTATCAAATATGGACGACTTCTTCTGGTACTTCATAACTATGTTCTATTGTTTTTCTGTGAAATATTGAACACCCACTATTCTTCTAAAGTAAGTGGGTGTATGCCGGTTGACGAGTGATTCTGTAAAGCTCTTTTGATTTTTTATTTTGTTTTATATTTCCATTTGGCACTTATGAGACCTCCTCTTTACAGAGGCTTGTGAATCTTTCCTGCCTGAAAAACAAACAAGGGAGAAACCTTCTAGTATCATACAATCAGGTGATGAAAAACTCCTCCACAGAGATCAGTCGATCACAAAAACAACTGGAGTTCAGGACTCAAAGCTTCAAAACGGAAATAACAGCACTCCATCAAAGATTAAATTACAGCTTTTCCCCATCAACTCTACAACACAGATAAAGTTGGAGAAGGTATAATTTGTTTACCTCAAATTCTTTTTGCAGACAGTTCATAATATTGCTGGTGATACTGAGATCATTGCCCTTTTTGCAGGATGGCCACAACCCTTTCTTGGAACTCACTCTGAGTCATAAGAAGAAGATACCATCTATAATTAAGCACTTGAATTCGAAATGGGGAAGTTCTGATGCAAAAGCAGATGAGCTCATGCTTTTCCCATATGATGTGAGGTTGGAAAGGATTAGGTCATGTAGTCGATGGACCTTAAATTGTGCTGGTATTACTGCTGGAGAGGTGCATGCAGCTTTAGGAAGTCCAGCAATTTTCCGCCTGAGGTTTTTGAATTACGTAGTTCTTTTTATAGTCTAACAGCTTTTCAAATTATCTTCTTATTTCGCTTTTTTTTTTTCCCCAAGGTATGGCTGGTATTCTGATCTTCAGCTTGAGGCTTCTGGGATTTCTTTTACATCCATGGTGGAGGAGCAGTTAGAATCAAAAAGCTTTGGGGCAGATTGCAATGGTTTTTCAGGGATAGCATTAGATCAAAAGAGCAAATGTAGTAATGCAGGTTGGGATGGTAGAAATTCTATCAACAAACATGAAATAGAGAATGTGATGGAGTCGAGGCCACTCTCCACACCAGTTAAGTAGCTTTATATGATTTTAGGTTTTCTGGGGTTAATCATTTGGTTATATCAGCAAACGTGTATGGTTCATTTCTCTCTATTAATACCTTTCCTGTCATGATCCTTATTCTCAAGTCGCAACTACATGAAGAAGTTTTCCATTTTGAACTATGCTTTTGCAGAAAAGGTTTTGAAAGAGATGGGTTTGGGATCTTGCGATGTTCTGATTCGGGTGTTTATACCTTGGCACTTGAGTATTGTTATTTATTTATTTTATTTTTGGTTCAACTTGGTTGGGAATATACTGGGCATGTTGTTGTTGTTAATTCATCTTTGTTTGTATGATGACGTTGATTAACTAAAGATGTATTACTCTACTATGAACTTTCTATTCTGTGAGTAGTTTGTATTATCTGACTACTTAAATTAATGTTATCAGAGCTGTATAATGTAGATAGTGTTTGGAATGAGATATCAGTTGAAATTGAGCACATTATTCATTGACATTTTGCATCTTTTAGGTGGATGATATCAATGCATGCTCAGTATTACCATGGGATGATAGTTTGACTAGCTTGAGTATAGGAGGCTTGCTCTCAGAGGTTTCATTGCTGAATAAAATCAAGAGTTCTTCCCAGAAATCAGAAAGTAAATCAAACCTACAGCCTATTGAGTTAGTTTCTGATATTAGTGTGGGAGCCTTGCTGTCTGAAGCATCTTTGCTGGGCAAGATCAATGATTCTGATGTTAGACCTGGGAATAACTCAAGCTTTTTGAAAACTAGATCGATCTCTGATACATGCACTGAGGGCATCTTGAGCAATGCATCCTTTCAAAGCAAGAGTAATGACCCTGTTTCGAAGACAGAAAATGAAGCAGGATTCCAGCTTATTCATTTAGATTCCGAATTGAGCATTGGTGGCTTAATGTCCGAAGCATCCTTAGCTGCTAATGCCAGTGATCCTACTTCCAGCAAAAATACGTTAGGGAAGTCTACACGATCAGTTTTTCCATGGGATGATGATGGCTCAATATCCTTGAGCATAGGAGGTTTGCTATCTGAGAATTCCTTGCAAGCGAGATTAAACGGTTATGATTTGAAGTCAAAGCAGAGCTCCAAAAAATTGCTATCTGGATTGCCTACCTTGGGTGCGTCGGTTGCTGCTCAACATAATCAACGTTCACCAATGCAAAAGCAGCTGTTGCATGAGTCATTTTCATCGATCCTAGATGGTGAAGAGACTTGCCATGCCTTTTCTTTCAAGAAAGTTTCATCATTGAACAAGGATTTGATTACTTCAAAAAGATAGGACAAATATGGGAGACGTTGCAATTATTCAAAGTTAAAAGCATCTGGATCTACTTTAACTTTGAGGTGTGTTGTTGTCTCTTAAATGTTCAATCAAAGAGTTGTTTTGCATTTGGATTGAAACCTATTCAGGTAGTTTATTTTCATTTTGTCAGAAGTTATATTTTGTTAGACTGATTATATTGCTATTATACATTTTTATCCATTCACATCGAGTGAAGGTCGCTGATGGATATGTGAAGGTCTAATTGGCTGGCTCTTCGCCTGCCAACAAACTTATTGTACATGATTATAGTTAGTCTAAACTGAATGGTATTTGTGGAAGAATATTGATTTCAATTGCTAAGTTCTATCTCATTAACAACCAATATATTATCTAAAACCACTTCCTATTTTTCCTTTGTTTGATATTTAATGCTAGGAAAGATTATAATGTGACTTAGCTGATAAGGTTATCTGCTCTGCTGTGACATTACATCTTTACATCCACAAGGCTGTATCTGTGATTCTAGACTATCTTCTTTTCTTATGACAAAGTATTCAATTTTATTTGCGTTTCATTATTTGTACGAATTTGTCGCTATATTTTCAAGCCAAGTTAAAAATTGATTTTTGAAAAGGGTAATTGATGTTGTTAGCGAACTGGAACTGTGAAAGAATTAGAATCTGACTGGAATGGGTGTTCATGGATCGGAACCTTCTAGTTTAGAGTCAGTTGTGATTTCCTGTTTTCCGAACTGTGAACTGGCGGCTCAGAAACCAGAATTGCTGGTTCATGAACTGTCACCATTACTAATTAATAATTTTGATAGAGTGTCTCTTTGGGAGGAAATTATTTCCTTTGCTAAAGATCCATGCTATTCCTAAGTGTGGTAGTCCATCTCCTTATTTTGTAGTGCACAGTTTGTATATTTGGCCCTATGCTCTCTCGTGTGATTCAGCATGTTTACGATGGGACCAGATATACAGTTTGTACAGTCTCAACTTTCCCACTTTGTTAGTTTCTGGATTTGTTCTTCTGGTCATTGAGCGTGTGTGTTGATTAATCAATTGACAAGAATCATAATGTGATTTGTAATTTTTTTAGCATAGCATCTGTGAAAGGTTTTCTAGAACAATATCTGTAAACTCACTCTCTTGATTTAAATTTTCAGGTCAATAGGCTGACACTTGTGTGAGAATTTTTTTGATGTATCATCATCATCATGAGCTAAATGCTCAAACCATTTTTGCTAATTGTCCTGCTCCCCTTATATCAAATATAAGCATTATTTGGTTTGATTTCAAGGAGTTGGAGATAAAGGCAGAAGCCTTGACCTAACATTTAATTAATGAGTAAGTCATCTGACCCCTACTCTGTTAATTGATGATGTTTCTTTTCAAGATCCTTAAGAATGATGTCTATGCAGAATGACTCACAGGGAACGTTTGATCTTTGCTGCAACTTGTGGAGGAGACACTGTTAGCGGTAATGGACTTGTGGCTTTTGGATCCCCGGTGTAAAAGGAAGATGAACTGTTCCCGAGTCTAGTTGAAGATAGGGTTTCAATCATTTTTACTAGTATGCGTTCGTTAGATGTTTTCACTGTAACTATAATAGAATATTGAAAGATTGCCGGATAATAGGAGATTTTTAGACATAGTTGCTATAATCATCTGTCAGATATTTAGGCATAGACTTTAAACAAGAGGTCTTCCAAATGGATGCTGTATTCGGGTATAAGTTTTTTCTGGCTTTATGTCATCTTTTATCACTCCTTTCTCCAAAAAAAAAATGACAGCAACCATGTCTTTTTTTTCTTTTTTTTGGGGGGGGGGGGGGGGGGGGGTGGGTGTTGAAGGATATCCTTCACCATCCTGAATTTGTTAAACTTGCTGTTAACGACGATGCAACAAGCTACAGCTTGTGCCGATTAACCAGGAAAATCTCCAGATATCTTTTACTTGAGAAGGACAAGAAAAGAAGTCCTTGAAAGTGGAAACTGATGGTCCGCGAATCATTGATAATGGCTGCATCTATGATTCCAATGTTTGTTGTGCTTTCTTGCGGAAAAGCATAGGCCATCCAGCTCTAATCTGTTGGATACTGATTTGTACTTGCCGGCCGTAAGACAACGACCCACATCACGTCATTTTCTTCTTTCCAATATTCTTTTAGCTGAAACTGTTGTTTGTATCAAAGTAAACACATACGACTGATGATTACGATCAGAAAGATTCATACTCATGCATTCATATTGTACATTATTATGACATCAACTTCTTAGCGACTATCGTCACTTAGATCTTCTCAGAAGTCCAAGGTGATTCGGTGATTAGCAGCCGTGAGGCAATATGGGGTGTGTTCAGAGCAAAGGAGGCGGTTACTCGCCTTCTGACAGTCTCCACAAGCTGAAAGCCGAACATGGATACGTGAGGAGTAACAGCGGTGAACAAAATGTGACCAAAGCGAAGGATTTGAAGTACTTAAGGTCTCAGAATGATGTCAACAAGTCAGCCGAGTCTTACAGAGGTAGAGAAGAGAGGAAAATAAGTAAAGAAGTTGATGTTGGGAATGTTCCGAGAAGAATCAGTATCAAGAAGATCGGTGCTGCTGATGGTTTGTCTGATGGATGGCCTAAATGGCTTGTTGAGAATGTTCCTACAGATGTTCTAGCTGGTCTAGTTCCGAAAAGTGCTGATTCTTATGATAAACTTGCAAAGGTAATTGTTAATTTCTGATTCTGTTCCTGTTGTTTGAGCTTCAACCAAAATGTGTTTTGATAAGGAAATGATGACGACGATCCACATAGCTATTTTGGCTTCTTCTTGTTGTTCCTATTTGCATTTGATTAGGAGTTGTAATTGAACCTAAATATTTGATTTGATTTTATAATCGCTCTTTTCACTTCCATTTGCAATACATTTTTAGAGAAATATGTTAAGAGTTATTTATGAATTGCTCTGTGGAGAAAAGATGATGAATGCTTGATTGCAATCATTCTGGCATATGTGCAGATAGGCCAGGGAACATATAGCAATGTCTATAAAGCTAGAGATAGGGTGACTGGGAAAATTGTTGCTTTGAAGAAAATTCGTTTCGACACATCGGAACCTCAGAGTGTGAAGTTCATGGCTAGAGAGATCATCATGCTGAATAAGCTTGATCATCCTAATGTCATTAAACTTGAAGGACTGGCCACTTCAAGATTGCAATACAGTTTGTATTTGGTTTTTGATTTTATGCAGTCAGACTTAACCAGTATCATATCTCGCCCGGGTGGAAGGCTAACTGAACCACAGGTCAGATAGAATATCAGTCTCTTTAAAATGTTCTATCCTCAAACATGATGCATGCTGTCTCATTTGATTAAATTACAGAGTTTTTAACCACCTGCCTAGACCTGTCATGGCTGTTGCTGGTTGAATTCGGCCATTTGGCAGGAATTTGGTCGGCCAGGCGGCCAGTGATCCAGCAACAATGAGTGGCAAGCCACCCGTGGCAGTGGCAAGATTGCGACAGCAGTGAAAATTATGAACATGTGTTATATTATTAGGTAAACTACTTAGGAAAAACTAATGGCGCACCATAGTATGAGATGATTGATGTAATGCTTGGCATACAAATACTTGTAACTTGTAAGCCTTTCTCCAGACTTATAAATAAACTTAGATGCCACACACTTTTCATTGGGGTTCTGCAGAACAGAAGAAGAAATCCTTTCAAATTCGATGTATTCATTAGATAACACGTCAACTGCATGTCAAAGAATGAATGAAATGGAAGAACAAAGACAGTATTCTGAAAAAAAAAAAAAAAAACAAGTATAAACCAGTTGCTGACATCTTAAAAATATCTAAAACTACTCAAAAGAGTTTCTTTATGATGAATAAGCAATAAATGATCTGTACGATGCAATGCAGATCAAATTCTACATGCAGCAGTTGCTTTCAGGTCTTCAGCATTGCCACGAAAGGGGAATCTTGCACAGGGACATTAAACCGTCCAACTTGTTGATAGATAAAAATGGAATGCTGAAGATTGCAGATTTTGGACTTGCCAACTTTTATCAGCCAAAAGCAAAGAAGCCTCAGACAACCCGAGTTGTAACATTATGGTACCGAGCACCAGAGCTACTTTTAGGTTCTACTGATTATGGAGTTGGCATTGATCTTTGGAGTGCTGGGTGTCTTCTTGGTGAGATGTTTATTGGGAGGCCCATCATGCCTGGTAGGAATGAGGTAGTTTTTAGCTGTAATCCTTTGACTCAACACAGATGAACATTTCTTTTTGCAAAGATCATGTGACAGTCTGCCTCCCAAAAATCTTGGACATGATATACATAGTCTGACTCTTACTATTCGATTTTATTTTGCAACAGAAGCACAGCACAGTAAGTAAAGTGTAGGAGCTGACTGGGATGAGCATTCTGTTTTCGTTAACTAAGAAATTGAATTCTGTTTTTTCTTTACCTCTTTTGGACTCTTAGATTGAACAACTTCACAAGATCTTCAAGCTATGTGGATCGCCTCTTGAAGACTACTGGAACAAAGTGAAGCCACCGACCACTTTCAGACCAACACCAAACTATAAACCCAGTTTCGAAGAATCATTTCCCAGTTTGCCTGATTCAGCGTTACGCCTCTTGAGCAGTCTTCTGTCTCTTGATGCAGCTAATCGAGGCACAGCTTCTTCTGCTCTTGATAGCGAAGTGAGTATATACACACAAGAATTTCCTTTATGTGCACACTTTCAGCCTTCCTGCTAAGACTGAAGACTTTTAATTTCCCTTGACAATCGAAATAGATTCAGATCATGACAAATAACAATTTTCAGTAAAAAGCAACACCAATTTTTTATCACTGCTATTGAATTTCTTTTTCTTGGATTACAGTTTTTTATTTCAATTCCATTGCCATGTGATGTGTCTGGTTTACCTGTACTGAAAGAAGAGGAGGACGATGCATCCAAATATGTTGACCAGTTAAGGTAATGTACTTGGCAAAAACTCAGTAGTCTTATGTGAAGCTCAGTAATCTTACTTTTAAATAAGTATATCATTCAAGATTCACTTCTCAAATCTCTCTCTCTCAGATGAACTGATAGTAGTTTAAGTTTTTTAGGATCAGGGCTGCAATAGCAAAGAAAATGCGCATAAGTCGCAAAGGTCACCAAAGAAAGGTCTCGTTTCCTGAAACAGTCAAAGAAGAATCTGAATCCTCTAAAGAGGTAAATCATCTGCAACTAAATCTCTCTGTTCACCAAGAGGCAAATTACAGTAGTCATAAATTATGTCAAAGTCTATGCATGAGTTTAAGCAAGTTTGAGAAATAAGGAACCATCCACACAAGAATTTCTAAAGTCAATGTCTACTGAAAATCAGCAACTTTCCCTCAAATGTCATAAATAAGTATGATATCAATTCCATTGCAAATTCATTCTGAAGAGTGTTTCCGAAATTAAATTCGTAATGTCATGACATTATCCTAACTCAAAATCATCATTTTCCCAGATGAAGTGATAAAATATTGTTCAGCATATCAATTGTAAGTAAGTGACCTTAGGATGTGTGTAAGGCTAGAAAGTGTCAGATCTCATATGGGTGTTAAAAAAAAAAAAGAATATCAAAAGTAATGCCATTTTTACTCTTAACTGTCTCACAGCAGGAAAAGCCTGCAGAATTCAGCTTCCAGAACCAAGAGATATTCAATAGTGCAAGCAGTAGCAACTCAAGTGGAAAACTGAGCAGGACCCTTGAAAGGTCACCTCCATCGCCACCTCTATTTTTCCGATCTCGGCAGGACCTAACTGCTAAAACTGAGGGACATCCAAATGCTCTCAAGAATATCCAGAACTATCCGCTTTTGCTGGCCTCTCTAACACGAGCTACCACACATTTCGAAGAGAACAGATTGGGTCTTAGCCATAGGTCCATGTCGATGGACTTCCGGAAGCTGGATATGGATAAAATCACTGAGCTCTTCCCGCCAGAGGATAACTAACTGCAAGAGGATAACTGACTGCGAAGCCATGTGCTTCGACCACAGGACTCACTCTACTCGCACAAGGTTGTCTGCAATTATTCTTAGTCTGTCGAGCGAACTATGGTTTAGCTAACACATCACGGTGACATCCAATTGTTGATTTTTATCCCAGGAAACACAGGAACAAAAACGTCGTTGGGGTGGCTCTACTATGTACTGCACCCTCCTACCCGAGTAAGCGAAAAAGTTGAAACTCTGCTTGATAATTTACATAATAGTTCTGCTTCAAGATATAGTTAAAGATGAGACAGAAAATTATTGTTGAACAAGTTACTCTATAGTTGCTGAGCTTCCCAAAGGATGTACTCTGGATTCAGACAATCTTTTTGGTGCAGAAGTTGTCCAGCTACATTAGAATACTAGGAAAGTAGAGTATGACAGGCATACCAAAAATATTAGACTCAAAGAAGCTAAGGAGTACTTTTTATAGAATTAAAGAATAATGTTTGTAATTGGAATTCTCCAATCACAGGCCTTGAGTTGGAGGAAGCAGATAGTTCATTTGTAAAATAAAAGGATGCTGAGATGGTCTTCATAATCTAAAAGTGTTCCAGTCGGAACTCCCGAGAAAAAGTTATTTATTTATTTTTTTTTTGGAAATTGGAAAGACATACATGTCATGATTCTTGTCTAGTTTCTGGGTTAAACTGAATGATCTTTGTCATATTTCAGTTAGTTCCTAAAATGAATAATGAAGAGTGCAACCAATGCTTCAAGAATCACGGGTTTCATACATTTCATGTCCTCACAAGATTACAACTTCACGGCTCCAAATATTACACACAAAGTTCAAATTTCTCGTAAAACGCATAAAAACTGACAAAATATTTGAATAACTTCAATTGGCATATATGTAATTCAGAATGTTACAATCTTTAAGATATAAAATGCACACTTGCATTTATCTCCTTATGTACAATCTCAAAGTATAGTCATCCTATGAAGGTAACTATACAAGTAATGCCTTCATGACTTCATTTCAAGAACTTAAAAAGTAGAAGAGATAACCTTAAGAGAGACTGTTCATGAGGGAAGTCATTTTTGGCAGTTTCAGCAGTCACTTGAATGGTAAACTATGAAGAAGACAACTGCACACAGTGTACATAAATCTCAGTTTCATTATTCTACATCCTTCAACAAATTGTTTACCATGTTCGCTAAAGGAAGAGTGCCCTTTGTCATTATCTCAAACCTTGAGGTATTGGAGGCATTTGCGAAAAGCGAAAGGCCAAAAGTAATCAGCTCAGGAAGAAATAGCCGTGACGACAAGAAGCCATGCCAATATCGAGGTTCAAGGTCAAAAAAAGCATCAAAAAATCTTCTGGTGGCATGTAAATCAAGCTTCAGCAGGATATCCATGCCAAAGCAGAAGAATTCCCTTTGGCGCCTCCTTTCTATTGGCCATAAATCTTTCCAAACTTCTGAAGATAATTCGGCACCTAGTGGATTTTGCGCAGACCCAAGGTACCGAACAATGGCATTTGCTACAATAGGAGCTGCTGCAAGAGTCCTTGCTACCATATAACCAGTTGAAGGGTGCACCATACCAGCTGTACCGCCAATTCCAATCACTCTCTGTGGTAATACTGGAAGGGGACCTCCCATCGGAATCACACAACGCTCGTCCTCTTCAATACTTCTTATTTTAATGCCCAAATGCCTCAACCGAGCAACCATTCTTTCTTGGATGTCCTCCATAGGAACTCCTGGACGAGCTACAAGAGAAGTTTCTTCGAGGAAAATTCTATCAGATGAAAATGGCATAGCATAAAGAAAAGTCGGTATCCTTTCATTTCTCTCCTTCAACGCCACATTGTTAGAAAGATGCGAGTCTCGCCAGTCCATGAAAACCATCTTATTCACATCAAACGGGTGCTCTTCTACTTCAGCCAAAATCCCATAGGCAACTTGATAGCCAGGGTTGTATGGCTTATCGTACTGAACCAAACATCTGGCAAATCCAGTTGCATCAAGAACCACGGCTGCTTCGATCGTAACACCATCACTGCAGATCAGTAAAGACTTAGAGTCCTCATGGATAACTTTGAGTACTTTGGCTTGGTGAAATTTTACACCATTTGAAATGCACTTCTGCATCATTTTTGATTTCAATGCCTTCCTGTTAACTCTACCATACGGTCTTTCAAGATCTTTAGAGTTTTTGTCATCAATATAAACCACGGCACTTGACCAAGTGGTATCAAGGCAGTCCAACAAATCCATGGCCTCAAATTCATCCACCCAGACACCATAATTATTCGGCCAAATCAATTTGGGAGAAGGGTCAATTGAACAAACAGAAAGCCCTGCTTCTGATACCTGCTGTGAAACAGCAAGCCCAGCAGGGCCACCACCCACAACAGCTAAATCAATCACTACCCTTTTTGAAGGGTCGTACATAGGAAGCTCAAAATCAAGATTTTCCTTTTTGGTTTCAGGAACAAGTTCCAACAATGCAGCACTACTACTACTTCGAGCCTTAATTTTACAATCCCATCTCAAATTAGACTTCTTATTAGAACCAAACTTAAGAGGGACCTCGTTTTGAGGCTTCAAAGAGCTCAAGGCACTAACTTTATCAGTATATCCACATAAAGAAAACCCAAATTCAAGCTTACTAGGAATCTTCTGCAAAGTACCCATACCTTTTTTCCTGCTCTAAATCACTTTATCCACACGGAATTCAAAAGGGTCTTCACAGAATCTTCAAAAAACACAATAGGAATGTCGGGAACTTTCACCTAACTAGAAATTCCACAATGATTAACAAGTTTTCAAATTGCAGCAATTACCATATATACCAATAAAATTCATCATAAGAACAGGAAAGGTCTGGTCATTAAACGGAGAAAATGAAAGCTGAATACTTACAGGAGAGAGAGCTGGGAATTCTTGGGGAAGTTTGGTTTGCTTAGGACATTGGAAAAGGGCCGTAGGGGTTGAGGTCTTGCCATTGCCAGTGCCAGTGATGAGGCTGGGTGGATGATATCTTCTTGTTTTAATTTTCTTTTTGTGAAGAAGAAAACGTTCTCTTTTTAGTACGTTTTTAGCCCCTTGCAGGCTTGCAGCCAATTGAGAACCCGTCGCTTTTGCCATTTATTGTTTTTGTTTGAAAGTAGATTTCAAAAAAAAAATGTGAACGAATTTTCGGAAATTTACAGATATTCAAATTTGAGAACCAAAAAATTCATTATTAGAGAGGGTTTTCTTGGTGCAAAAGAAAATAAAACTTGAAATTAATGTAATTTTTCTAAACAAACCATCCCATTCGTTACTCGCCAGACTCAAGAGGATCATGTTATTGTATGAGAGTCTATTATATTTTTCTCAATCTTTAAGCTAATGTTCTCATTGTTAATAATGATTGTTACATTGAAAAATTCATATGTTGTTAACGCAATAGTTTTGGCCGAAAAAAAAAAAGAAAATTATTGGGACGAATTTAATTGATGCCAATACGGTTCAACCCATTCAAATTCAATGGACTAGCTCAGATACTTACCGGAATTTCATAGACGACTCTTCTTGAGGCGTTATGCTCATCTTCATGGAAATGATTCGAGATTGCTTAGTAATTAAACAAATTAAAAAGATATTGTTGAATAACTACCCAAATTTTACTCCACGGTAAATCATTATAATATGACAAAAATTCAAATTCATCGACACCGAATTTATACAATTTCATTTTAGTTTAGTCTTATTTTTTTTAGTACAAATAAAGAAATTAAGGTGAAATTAAATCAAAAGATTCTTGTACGAATATATCGGTAAAGTAATATTTCAAACACATGTTTGATTATTCTAGATCGTAGGTCATCTAATCACTGCAAACTCACTTTGTCATTTACTGTTGAGAATGTCATGTAATTTACTGTAAAATTTAATTCACAGAAAATATGTCCGATTTTCACATAGACAATTTTTTCGAAACACGTCACAAATACTCTTATAAATCTCAAAGTATAACGATAAATTTATTTTTCTCAACTATCTAAATTACACTCAAATTATCGATCGACTTTCACAATAACTTATCATGTACTCAATTTCCAACCCTAGTGGTAGTTTTTGTAAAAACTCCATAACTCAAATTCAATGATCGTATCATACCATATAGTATTTAATAAAACCCCAGAGCCATCGCCCATTATGATCCCAAACGAGAGTCCACCCATATAACCTTTCCTTTCTGAAACCAAAGGAAACCACTGTCATCTTTTTTTCAATACATATATGAAGGAGACAAAAGGATTTAAAATATTATGTTGCAACCATGACTTTGAATCTAACGGTAATTCAATTAACCAATAAAAACTTCTAGTAGGGATTAATAGCTAGCACCTGATGAAGCTAGAGAATCAACAGCAAATTAAATTCAACTCCACATATACTATCCTCTTTAAGAAAACCAACCCATGGATAACCTTAACCAAAGGCCATGTATAACACTCAGATTGTAAAATTCAGCAACCATCAGATTACGCACTCTCAGTTCAGACATCTTCATATGAACGTTGTCTGAATTTAGAATTGACTTTAATTACTTCATGTGTATTACGTACCGTGACTATTTTTTTTTTAAAAAAATATTATATACTATAACTTGTGCACGAACAATTTAACTTCATCAGCTCTATTCGTTAATTGTGCCATAGTACGTACAGATGTGTGCATGTTACATTCTTAGAATCTAGAAAATAGGCCAAATAGCCTAGAATGTGATGAAACTATACATAGTGAGATAACGGAATAGTAATGTATATATGTACTAATGTGACAAATGCATTACGATGAAATCCGTGTAAAGTAATACAGTAGAACGTTGGTAAATCGATAATGTATAAATTAATAATTTCTAGCAATTAATAATTTTTTCAGGTCTCAACTTGGGACCAGTATAAAAAGTGAACAAATCGATAAAATGATAAGATAATAATGTTTCAGAATATCTCTTAATATATCTATAGCTATAGGTCCCAATAATACAATAAATTAATAAATACTCTAAATGCAAAATAATAATAATAATTGCTATAAATATTCAGTAAAATATGAACTATTGATACTTATTATTTAGTCTATAGAGATGATATGAACTATGTATGGACTTTTAGTATTCATAAGAGTTTTAATACTTGATTGATACGGATGTAAAAATAATTACAAATTAAAAAATTTAGTGACAGTTCTTTTTACTCTTAGAAATTCTTTAAATTAATAATTTGTTAATTTATCGATTATTTAATAATTTTATAAATTAATAAATTTTAGTGGTCCCAATACTATTAATTTTAGTGGTCCTAATACTATTAATTTATACTATTAATTTTATAAATTAATTTTAGTGCTCTTAAATAATTCTCAATCAAAAGCCTCGAGGTATAGAAATTTCTAAGGGTGAAGACTCTAAATGTACATACATCCGGTATTCAACATGTTAAAAATATACAGTTAAATGTACCACAAAAATATTACTCATTTTTTAAAATATTATTTTAGATACATCTAGGATGGTACCTGATGAGTATTTCTAATATTTTTTTTTTTGAGAAAAAAAAACAATAGGCACAATTCATTTTTTAGGGTTGATACGAGTTAATTGGGATAGTGACAAAAATAAATGTGTTGTACACTTACTTCATTGTACCAAATTTCTAATTTCAGTCTCATGTTTGTATTTTTTTTTATTTAATTAGAGATCATTGTGTTTCATCTAGCTTTAGGAAGCCAAAATGTTTTACTGAAATTATGTATAAGGTGATAAATTAGTAGGGATTCATATTTGTTGGTCGAATACTGTTAATTTTAGTGTTTATTTTTAAAATTGTCGTTTTTAGGGTTCTCACCCTGCTTGTGGCTCATGTCTGCAATGTAAACATAAGCTATTTTGTTCTTTGAAAAAAACAGAAAAACACACAAGCTATTTTGTTAATTAAATCATTAAACGCTTATATTTAATAATTCATTATCATAAAAATGAAACTTTAAAGATTCTAAATGAACAATACTATACAAAAACCATAGCAAACCACAAAAGATCATTCGTAATAACTATAACACGTAGTACGTGAGAGAAAATAATAATAATTTTTAACAAATGACCAATGCTAAATTAAACATATTAGCTTATTTATTGTAGCCAATACGCAAATTAATAGCGGTTACTGTAAATCTCTTTTACAAGCGGTGCTGATATATTAACCCAAAATAATTAAAACAGTTAAAAAAAGTGGGAATTTCAGACTTATGGAACAAGTTATGATAAAAAAACGTGGTAAGTATACCAATAAATAAGCTTAATAAGTAAATATGCCAAAAAAACGTGGTATTTGGAATATTCGATTTCCAAATACCAATTGTTTGTATAATAATCATCATATTCCAATTTCTAATTGTATTTTATAACATCTTTTTTTTTTCAATAATTAGAAAATTTCCCAAAATCAAACGTGCATCTTGGCCTATAAATAACGCCCCTTCTTTTCATCCTTTAACCACACAAAACCTCACTTAAACCTCTCTTTTTCTAAACCCTCTTGTCCCATAAGTTAACCTACTCCTCAAGCAATCAAATCAAATCAAATCAAAATCAGCATCTATGGCGGCCGAACTTAGTACCTTGTTTTGGTCCCTCAAAGATTGCATCCAAGAAGAAGAATCAACCATGCAGAAGAAAACCAAGATGATGCCTAAGACCAAGATCGTTTGTACCCTCGGACCGGAATCTAGGTCGGTCGAGATGATCGCCAAATTGCTCAAGGCCGGCATGAACGTTGCTCGATTCAATTTCTCCCATGGATCTCACGCTTACCATCAAGAAACCATAGATAATCTCCGAAGCGCCATGCAGCTCACCGGGATCTCTTGTGCTGTTATGCTTGACACAAAGGTACATACTTTAAACCTTTGTACTCCCTCCGTCCCATAATTATTGTTGAATTTGTGTTTTCATTTTTAGTTCAAATTGTACTAAAAGTGAAATATAAAACTGGATAATAATTTTGAGACAGAGGGAGTAGAAAATATTTTGTTAGGGTTTTGAGGGCTTCTTGATTGAGAAGAAACAATGGCCTAATTTAATTTCTTACTTGTTTGAATTCAATTTTCAGGGTCCAGAAATCAGGACCGGGTTGTTGAAGGAAGAAGGGAAACCAATCCAACTCGAGCAGGGTAAGGAAATCACGATTTCAACTGATTACACTATCAAGGGCGATGTGAATCAGATCTCAATGAGTTACAAGAAGCTGGCGGAGGACGTGAAACCGGGAAGTGTGATCCTGTGTTCTGATGGGACAATCTCGTTCACTGTCCTGAGTTGCGACAAAGAGAACGGATTGGTCCGTTGCCGTTGCGAAAAATTCGGCTGTTTTGGGGGAGAAGAAGAATGTTAATCTCCCCGGAGTTGTTGTTGATCTTCCTATTTTGACTGAGAAGGACAAAGAGGATATCCTGAAGTGGGGAGTTCCCAACCACATTGATATAATTGCTTTGTCATTTGTCCGAAAGGGTTCCGATCTCGTTCAGGTTCGACAGCTCCTTGGTGATCATGCCAAAACCATTATCCTAATGTCAAAGGTATGTTTTGGGTTTTCAATTTGTGATTTCAATTGATATGATTTGTAGTATTCCTCCGTCTCAGAAAAGTAGTTCACCTTATAATTCGTGATTTGTACAAACTATAATGTGGACTATTTTTTAAGTGGTCTACAATATAGACTATTTTTTTATGATTTGCACATATTTTCAGTACAGATCACAAACTTTAATGTGAACTAGAACTATTATTTTTTGGGACATTGGAAGTATAGCTTGTATCATGTGATTAATTTGACTAAGAGAAAGATGAACTTAATTTATTTGATTAACTTTGTTGCCTCAGGTTGAGAATCAAGAAGGGGTTGCCAATTTCGATGACATATTGAAGAATACAGATGCATTCATGGTGGCCAGGGGAGATTTAGGAATGGAGATTCCAATCGATAAAATCTTCTTAGCACAAAAGATGATGATTCACAAGTGCAACATTGCGGGAAAACCCGTTGTGACAGCAACCCAGATGCTGGAATCCATGATCAAGTCCCCGCGTCCCACACGCGCCGAGGCCACGGACGTGGCGAACGCGGTGATCGACGGCACGGATTGCGTCATGCTGAGCGGCGAGACGGCCGCCGGAGGGTACCCGGAGATTGCCGTCCAGACGATGGCAAGGATTTGCGCGGAGGCTGAAAACACGCTCAACTACGATCAGGTTTACAAAAGGGCTGTCTTAAACGCGCCTAAACCAATGAGTGTTTTGGAGAGTTTGGCTTGTGCTTCGGTTCAAACAGCATTCGCTTCAAAGGCTTCAGTGATTATTGTCCTAACCAAAGGCGGAACAACGGCTCAGCTTGTGTCGAAGTACAGGCCTAACGTGCCGATTTTGTCGGTCGTGGCGCCTGATGTCCGTGAAGATGACCTTTTGTTGACAAACAAGGATGTTTTCCCGGTGAAACATGGGCTTGTGTACCGTGGAATTGTCCCCGTGTTGTTGACCACTCCGGCGGGTGTCGGGTCGGACTACCACTGCCCGGAAAAAGCAACCGATTTCGGCATAAGATGTGCCAAGAACAAGGGGTTCTGCAAAGACGGGGACACAGTTGTTGTGCTTTGCAACTTTGGAAGCCCTTTCTTGACGACTGTCAATTCAGTTTAAAAGTTGGCAAGGAGGACTTAAAGAGCTAGAAGTTGTGGTTCTATTTCAATTTTGTGGAGTTTTGTTTAGTTTAATTAACGAGTTTCAATTTTTGCAGAGGATTGTCAGCATTATATTACAAAAATTTGACTTTTTTTTTCTTCCTTTTTTTGAGTTTGAATTTCAGCAGAAAGTTTATCTTTCAGCTTCTTATTCCCCCCCCCCCTCCCGATGAAATTTGGTGTTTTTTTGTTCTGCTAAATTGGGTGATGAGATTTCTTTCTTTTGGTTGTGGAAGTTAATGAATCGGTGTTAAACTTTCAGTTGAAAACGCATCACGATATGGATTCATGAATGCTTAATTATCTCCATCCGTTAGTCTTTATCACCGGTCATAGAATCATCCTTTACAGAATAGTGCTCCCCTCCGTTCCCGAAGACATTGTTTGTTTGTTTAGTAAAAGTTACAAGACAATATTTTAGCACAGAGTAGTTTTATCACCAATAATAGAATTAGACATTGTAAGTTTGTTTAGTAAAAGTTACAAGACAATCATTTTAGTCTAGAAGAGAGTATAAGATTATTAAACGAGATCGTGCATAAGTTTTGGAAATTTAGAAGTACTAATTTACTATGCAGAAATGACGTTAACAATTTTATACAAACTAAATGTTTGCAATGAGTTAATGAATTTGAAGATTTTCTGCTTTCTTTTAGCAATTTTCTCCACAAGATTAGTTTAGTATTTCGAACGCAAGGCTTTATCTTTGGTTGTTTCTGGGAGTGGAGGCCAGTAGTTGTTATTCGTGTGGTATATATAGGGTAGCTGTTATTCTATCTGCATGAATTTTGACAGATAATTTTTTCTATGATTCTTTAATTCATGTGTATTTTAAATATTAAAATTTGAACGACAAATATTCTATCTGTATGAATTTGATAGATAATTTCTTCTATGATTCTTTAATTCATGTGTATTTTAAATATTTAAAATTGAATGACAAATTATTTATTAATCGCACACGATGACAACATATTATGATTTACATAACCGACTCCAATTAATGGAAAGGAGACTTGCTATTGTTGTTGTTGTATATATGAACTAGATGCTAGCCCCGGGCATTCGCCCAGGGTCGCCTCTATTTTAAATTTGTCATTGTAAAAAGTGATTTACAATTCAAAAGAAATATATATATATATATATATTATAATAGGTATAATACAATAGAGGGAATTAGATGCCAACATTTAAAAATTTTAGGGGGGGAGGGGTTCCTGAGCCTAATATTACAAAATATTGGTTCCTAAATTAATGAAATCACTTGGTAACTTTGTAAAATCGTTATTTGCCTATTCACGATAGGTTCTACCCCGAAAGCAGCTAAAACAACATCAAATTGCAGCAAAAAAATGCAAGATTCATAGACTTCTTTGCCACTTGGACACATTCTGCCAAGAAAAAACAACATTAGGCTAGCACTTCAATATTCCAAGATACAATGTCTTCACTATTCCAGCATAGGGGCATTAAGAAGATCACCTTTGGTCATTCCAGCTTCTTGGGAACATAAGCAAGTATAATCCTAGGTTCTATTCTGATAAGGGAACCTCAAGCTATTGCAAGCCCAAAAAATCACTATATTAAAACCAAACACAATATGCAACTTAAGTATGTTGTGCACTGACTCTCTGAGTCACAGACATTGTGTTACATATATAGTGCTCTAAGCAACTATACAGTGAAACAAAAAATACAAAATGAAACAGATAGAAGTTTACCTCATTGTCAAGGTAAAGCAGCATTTCATTTACAGTCATACCAAACTCAACGATCTGCAGCACAAATATGCTAAGTTACCTTTCCTGCATCTTAATGTAAAATCATAAAGTAAAAAAGAATCCAATGTAATCAGTTGTATTTAAAAGTATCACTAACTATTTCTTTCCCTATTTTAGAATCAACATGTCAACCCAAGCGGTTGTTGGAGCCTTCATTGCACATTTTATTATTTACTTTTGTAAGAAAATATGAAACCAAATTGAAAACATGGTAGACAAATCTAGTGTAGCAAGGTTTACTGAGCAACAAAATTAGCACACAACAATGAGGTGATTTGCAACTGAAACATCATAAGGAGAATTGGCTGCACCAGGATCTACATTTGCTGAAACAGAGGAGTCAATCATCGAAAATGAATAGGAAAATGGTCCTGCTGATAAACATGAAAGTAGTATTACTGCTAGTGTACCATTGTGTAGAAAGATAGATTGAATATCTCATCATCGAAAAAATGGTCAGCATAGTTGTTGGATTGAGGGTTGTTGTTCGTAGCTCACTAAGTTTGTCATTCAATTTTTTAAGCGGAGATTCAAATGCCTAACAACAAATTCCCATTTGGATATATACATATCTACCACAAAAAAACTAAAGTATTTATACCTTCTCTATTTCAGCATATTGATAGAAGTCCAGCCATTCTGTCTGAGGCTTCAGATTCCCTAAACTGCATCTCCTACCGCAAGCTTCAAAACAAAGCCAAAGAAACTGTTGATGGACTACAAAGATGACTTGCACAACCAAACATCCAAACAGAGTTGACATCAAACACAATGAAGAGAGAATTTGACAAAAACCTTAAAACACTGAAAAGATAGAGACTTTTCAATATTCAAATCAAAATCCATTCTTTGTAAATGACACAAAATTGGTGCATTAAAACCCAGCCTTCAAACTGATTTCTTAATTTAATATTGTAAAACAACCCAAAAATTGTAATCTGAAGCTAAACATATGATCTCTTTAAATATGCCGAAATGATTATGCCATACAAATACTTCAAAACAAAAAAGTCTCCCTATCAGAATACCTTGCTTTTTATACATCATATCTTGTTCATGCTTTTTATACATCATTTTGTTCAATACAACACACATACAATTACAGGATAATGGAACCAAGAATACCTCGCTTCTCCATAATCTGAAGGCCAGTATTTTCTTGGTCATATTCTCAGGCTTCCAAAAGATTAAATAAAGTTCCCAAGCGGTGCAAGACAACCAGGAAAAATGAATAGACTTACATTAAATAAAGTTGTTATAGAAGAATCCATAACCTAAAAGTCATATACCCATAAATTCTTGAAGTGAGTAAATAAAGAACCTGAAAGCTATAGTAATATCATCCTCAAATTAGTAGCTAGTGCCCTGCCCATAATCTCGAGAAGTAATGCATTCTCAAGCTCCCCAGCCAATCCCTGACAGTTGTCCTCCTCAACTTCATCTCCAACCTTTGTTAATCAAGCAAGTAAAGGATTAGATCAAGTATAAAAATTAACATATCCATGAATGAAAAAGCAAGAAAGAATAGTTGCTGTAGAAAGAATTACGGAATCAGTTTGTTGTATTGAATGGATAAATGGATATAAATATCCTAAAGACAAAACTGTCTAAAATCGTATATTCTACTGCTCTCTAAGAGGAAAGAACTCAACACAATTATAAGGTACCAACCAAAACCAACATCAAGTAACTATTAATTTCATCTTTATCTCAATATTTTGGAGGATTAATTAGCTCTAAACCCATGGCCTAAACCGAAATTAGGACTTATACCATTTGGAAGTTTTGACCCTCTTTTAGAACTAAGCTTCAATTTCACTATATTCTGATCAATAAATGTTTTCAGCCCAGATTCATTACCAGAAACATCGAGATTTTTGGACTCCTGATTTGATCCAGTAGCAGAAACAGTGGTTCCATTCTCCATAGCATTCATGTTCTCAAAGAAAAACCAAGATGAGAAAAAACGGCCGACATGGTAAGTTAACAACAGCTGCTTCTTGGCACGATAGCACTGACGTAGCTTCTCCATCTTATGTCGGCACTGAGCAGATGTAGCCGAAGAAGCATCTGGGCAACGGCTGGTAACGACTACAGCCGCAGCATCCCAGTCCGCCGTCAAAAGGCATCCCCGGTGAAAGGCATACCACCTCTCATTGTAGGCGTCAATCAACGCCAAAGTCTCCTCTTGGGTCCAACACGGAGGTGGAAATTTTCGAACAGGCTTCTCAACGACCTCGATGGCAGTAGTTTCCGGAGCTGCAGACGGTAAATCGGCAGTGATGGTGGTGGACATACTTAGAACCAAATCCCAAACAAAATCGAATCTTTATCGTCACCTTGCAAGCCCAAAAAAGATAATAATAAATAAATAAATAAAAATTAGAGTGTATTGTATAAACATAATAATGTGACCATTTCTACCTCCACAAAGCCAAACCTTTAATATCAAGCCGGAGGAAATGGCAGCTGAGACTACAGATCTGGCCCGATGTAAAGAGTGATGTGGTGGGGTGAGTAGTGAAGTTATGAGAATGGAAGTGATTAATTTGGTGGTATAAGGCAGTTTCGGAAGCTCTCCGATAAAGGGAGAAGAAACGGACCGTGGAAAAGGGTTTTAGGCGGAGAGACAGAAGGACGGGGGCGGCGAATAAACTTTCCTAACCCTAGGATTAGGATTGATATGAATACAGAGGAGAGCGGATATTATCTTCTCTATTTAAAATTCAAATGAATACTATAATTGAGAAAATTAATTTAGGATCAAAGCTTAATAATAAATAGAGAAGATAATATCTGATGGTAGTTTTAAATTTGATCTCAAATGTAACAGATCAAAGAATGTAAAACCCTTAAAAATTGGGGAGTGTTTAAGGTGAACATTTATATTTGTAGAATGAAAATCCCTTAAATTGAGGAGTGTTTAACATGATCATTTATATTTGCACAATTATGGAGGATTATTTTTTTTTTTCGGATGAATACAGGACACATGGCATTATACTTTTGCAAAAGATGTATTTTTTTCGTTTTGGCGGGACAAATACCTTTGTGAAGCTGACATGTGTCCTAAGTATCATTTGCTTTCATGAAGTGTAAAGGGATAATAACTAGTATTTGTTTTGTACCAAAAAAGAAAAAAATAATAATTAATTAGCTTGTGTTGTACAAAAATTATTAGTAATCAATGTAATATACTAAAATGTATATTGGGCTGGTATTGGGAGTAAAATATGCATTAGAGCATTCATAATGGTTTACACCATTGGGGGTATAATAACATGCTAAATCATCATTTTGCCATATTACACTTTTATTACACTTTTTCCGACATTGGTCTTTACACTATAAAGGTGTAATATAATCAATTTACTATTGAATGATCATGGACCCACTACTCTATCACTAGTTAATTATTAATAGAAAAATTTATATTATTACTTGATGACCCACCAAACCATGTATTCGACAGTGTAAGAATCCTTACACCATGATAATTTCTTACACTTCATACAATGGTGATGAATGTAATAGCGTAATAATTTACCTCTTATTAACCACCACTAAAGATGCTCTTAGTTCTGAATTGTAGCATTGATATACGAAAATAATTTTTGTGAAAATTATATTATTTATTTATCTTTTTTTTGGTAAATCGATATCTCCACGGGGAAGTAGTATTTTTCTTCCTTTCACGTTATCTTTGGTTGTTTCTGGGAGAGGGCCACAAATTAGCTGTTATTCGTGTGGTATATATAGGGTGGCTTTTATTCTATCTGCATGAATTTTGATAGATAATTTCTTCTATGATTCTTTAATTAATGTATATTTTAACTATTTAAATTTGAATGATAAATTGTGTATTAAACGCAAACGATGACAACATATTATGATTTACATAACCGACTCCAATTAATGGAAAAGAGACTTGCTATTGTTGCTGTCATATATATGAATAATAAATAGTATTTGTTTTGTACCAAATAAGAAATAATAATAATTAACTAGCTTGTGTTGTACAATAATTCAAGTAATCGATGTAATATACTAATATGTATATTGGGCAGGTATTGGGCATAAAATGTGTATTAGTTATGAAATTTAGTATTGATATACGAAAATAATGTTGTGAAAGTTATATTATTTATTTATCTTTTTTTTTTAGTAAATCGATATCTCTGCGGGGAAGTAGTATTTTTCTTCCTTTCGCTTTATCTTTGGTTGTTTCTAGGAGTGGAGGGCCAGAAAGTAGCTGTTATTCATGTGGTATATATAGGGTGGCTGTTATTCTACCTGCATGAATTTTGACAGATAATTTCTTCATGATTCTTTAATTTATGTATTTTTTAAATATTTAAATTTGAATGATAAATTGTGTATTAATCGCACACGATGAAAACATATTATGATTTATATAACCGACTCCAATTAATGGAAAAGAGACTTGCTATTGTTGGTGTCGTATATGTGCATAGTAACTAGTATTTGTTTTGTGCCAAAAAAGAAATAATAATAATTAACTAGCTTGTGTTTTACAATAATTCTAAGTAATCGATGTAATATACTAATATGTATATTGGGCACGTATTGGGCATAAAATGTGTATTAGTTATGAAATTTAGTATTGATATACGAAAATAATGTTGTGACAATTATATTATTTATTTATCTTTTTTTTTTCGGTAAATCAATATCTCTGCGGGGAAGTAGTATTTTTCTTCCTTTCGCTTTATCTTTGGTTGTTTCTAGGAGTGAAGGGCCAGAAAGTAGCTATTATTCGTGTGGTATATATAGGGTGGCTGTTATTCTACCTGCATGAATTTTGACAGATAATTTCTTATGATTCTTTAATTCATGTATTTTTTAAATATTTAAATTTGAATGATAAATTGTGTATTAATCGCACATGATGAAAACATATTATGATTTATATAACCGACTCCAATTAATGGAAAAGAGACTTGCTATTGTTGTTGTCGTATATGTGCATAATAATTAGTATTTATTTTGTGCGAAAAAGAAAAAATAATAATTAACTAACTTGTGTTGCACAAAAATTCTTAGTAATCGATGTAATATACTAATATGTATGTTGGGCAGGTATTGGGAGTAAAATGTGCATTAGTTTTGAAGTTTAGCATTTATATACGAAAATAATGTTGTGAAAAATTTATATATATATATATGTATGTTTTTGGTAAATCTATATACATCTTTCTCACTTTTGAGATAAGTTCTCATTTTCAAGAAAAAAAAAAAGAGAAAAAAACTCCTTTAAGTTATTATACTCCCTTCGTCTTGAAATGATTGTTCAATGAACTTTAGATGTTTAGTTTTAGTGTAATTTGATCTAAAAATGAAAATCTAAACTGTACAATAATTTCAAGAAGATGCAGAAAGAGCTGTAATGCATCCGCGGATGGAACAAATCATGTTTTTAGGCCTTTCGTTTGACTTATGTTACACAGTTAAAACCAGTATAGATCTTGAATGTTATAATTTTTGTGATAAATCATTAGTGTGCTATGAAATGTTGTGGCTTTAGATGGGTCAAGAAAGTCATTGTAATCCCAAGAATTTCCTTTCTCATGATTTGTCCCCGAGCTGGAAGTCTGATGAATTTTCGAGTTGTCAGATTGATGGCACAATTCTAAGGAAACAGAACAGAGCTTAAAAATCCAAGTACTAATCCCTCTCGCCAGTGGTGGGCACAAAGTAATCCAATGCTGGGATTAGGAATCCTTGAGGCCGATTTTGATGATCATTTTGAAGCGGCAGTAGGGCTGTGGATAGACTTCTGATCATCACGAGACTGGTGAGAATTGGGCGAGGAGTTCTAAAAGTATACCTCATGCCAACCTTGTAATCAGGTATAATTTGGTTCTATTTCTTCAAAATAATAAGGATTTGACTGGCAACAGAAGAAAGCATTGTGACTCCATTAACCTTATAATTGAAGATTCTATTAATGGACTTTTGTCAACTTCCGTCAATTTATTTAAATTTTTGTTAAAAAACTAACACTAATTTATCCAAAAATTAACATAATTTCGAGGTCTATATTCTTTCCCTCTATTAAGTTGAAAAATAATTTAAGTGCCAGCATAAGTTAAAAGTTTGTACCTTTTCACTTTTCTTTCCAAATACTGTTTAAATATTAGCAATCAACTTTTTTTCCATTGTATTTTCAAAACGGTGATTTAGATATCTAAAATCGGTGAAACAAAACTGTATGGTGACTAAAACTGGTGAAAAAAAAAAAGTTTATGGTGACTTAGTCGAGCTATTCCTTAAATTTTGAGGACCCAATATTGAGTTTTACCCTTTTTATTACATCAATATAATTTTCCTTCATTGAGAAAAAATTTTGGGAAAAAGAAAAAAAGAAAAAAACTAACCGCAACAACATATGCGCGATGCTCGCGCGAAAATTAAAGTAGTGCAAATTATCACAGTATAATTTTTAGAATGCACTTTTCGGAAAAGGAACGGTCATTTTCTTACAAAAATTAATTAGTAATTATGGATTTTACACCTTGTCCTTGTGCATGCCTTTGTGGATCATTGCCATCTTATACGCTTATGAAGCAGCTCTCACTCATTTTGTCCCTAAATAATCATTTTTTTTTTACCTATCTACATATATCTATATTCAAATACCCACGAGACTGAAAGAATCAAATTGTATCAATGTGAAAAATATTTTTTAATATTATTACGTACACAAATATATTGATCAAGAAGAGAGAAACAATCCCTTAGTCGAAGTGATATTTATAAAATTCAAGAAAATAAATAACCTTATTAAAATCACCTATAATAATATAATAACAAATAAAATATAAATTGGCTCAAATGAACATGTATGTCAATAGAATTCAGTAAAAAAAAATTACGGAAATTGAATAGTAGTCTAGTGATTTAATTCCCACAAAAAAGGTTTGTAAGGAGATTTGACCCTATTTAATAGGATTCACTGGTTTTAATTTTTTTTTAAAAAAAAAATTTACAAAAACTAATATTCCTTGCCAAAAAAAGATAATCTTCGCTTTGTTCATACATTCAATCAGCATAGGAGTACAATGTGCATCGGCTTTGGTCTTGATATATAGAATTCAGAACTTAAAATTTCAAATGTGAACTATTACATTGGACTTAAGAGTAGTTTTCTTTAGAGAGGTTGATTAATGGTAAGAATGCTGGCTGTTAACACTATTAGGCCGAGATTTTAAACTTAAAAATGTAATTTTTCAGTTTAACTCATAAGAAAAATTGTGAAAACCTAATTTGAAGAGC